CCGTGGGCGCCAGGCCTGCCTGAGTCACGGGCTGTTTGCCTCCAGCCGGGAGGACAGCTCAGGCCCAGCTGACCCGGGGACGTCACCCCCCACCCCCACCCCCACCATCGGAAAAACACGAGTGATGAGGACCCATTTTTTTTCATCGTTGTGGGGGAGGGACAGCTGAAGGGGGCGCTGATGCCGCAGCCTGGGGGGTTCCCGTGGTCCCCCCAGCACCCGCAGGGGCTGAGCTGGGGCTGGGACCACCCCCCTCCTGCCTCCTCTGTGGGTTGGGAGCCCCCAGCCCAGGCCCTGCTCCTTGGCCAGGTGCCTGGACAGCAGACGGTGTGGAAGCCGGCGTGGCTCCGTGGCTGAGCGTCGACCTATGAACCAGGAGGTCAGGGTTCGATTCCCAGTCAGGGCACAGGCCCGGGTTGCGGGCTCCATTCCCAGTGGGGGGCGTGCAGGAGGCAGCCGATCCATGATTCTCTCTCATCATTGATGTTTCTCTCTCTCCCCCTCTCCTTTCCTCTCTGAAATCAATAAAAATATATTTTAAAAAATTTTTATAGCAAAGGTGGAAATGTATTGAGAAACAAGCACAGACTTCCACATGGGGAGGGAGAGTCCCCAAACGTTTTGTAAAGGCCTGCACACGCGTGTGCTGAGCTGAGCTGAGCTGAGCTGAGAGGCAGAGCAGGGCACACGCATGTGCTGAGCTGAGAGGCAGAGCAGGGCACACGCATGTGCTGAGTTGAGAGGCAGAGCAGGGCACACGCATGTGCTGAGCTGAGAGGCAGAGCAGGGCACACACATGTGCTGAGCTGAGCTGAGAGGCAGAGCAGGGCACACACATGTGCTGAGCTGAGAGGCAGAGCAGGGCACAGGCATGTACAGTCTCGGTTTTCCCAGCTCAGGAGCACGTGGGTCTGTGTCTCTCCCGGAACCCAGAACCCACAGAGCAAACAGCTCGGTCCCGGAGCCGAAGTCCGTCCAGTCAGCACTCACAGCCGCTCGCAGGATTTGGGGGGAACAGCCTGCGCTGGAGGAGGGGGGTGGTTTCCAGAGCCTCCTGCCCCCCAATAAGTTACCACGACCATCCGGACGCCAGGGATCCATCCAGGCTCCTAGCAAAGTCGACAACTCCGTTGTCCATTTCCCGATGGCCGATGTCTTCACAAAGTAGTAGATGGTCCACAGAACTTTCTCCTTTCCTTCCGCGGGGCTGACGATGCCTCGTGGGCCCTTTCGCTCTTCGGTGGGTGTGGCAGTCTTTAAGTTGTTAGGTTCCCCCCCCTTTTTTGGTCTTGTTTTTCTAAGTTATTAGTTTTTTTTAAATATCTTTTATTGATTTTTTTACAGAGAGGAAGGGGGAGGGATAGAGAGTTAGAAACATCGATGAGAGAGAAACATCGACTTACTGCCTCCTGCACACTCCCTACTGGAGATGTGCCCGCAACCAAGGTACATGCCCTTGACCGGAATCGAACCCAGGACCCTTCAGTCCACAGGCCGATGCTCTATCCACTGAGCCACACCGGTCAGGGTAACGTGATTAGTTTTTAAAATCGGTACTTTTTCATGGAAACAACTTGACCAAAAGTCTGTCCTAGAATTTTGAGACCCATTAAAACAAAGTAAATTTTTTAATTTAAAAAGCGGGTAAATGCTGCCCCCCTGTGGACACGCAGAGGTGTTGCGAGCGGCGCAACAGAAACCCATTGTCCATTTTCCCACGCTCGGCATTTTTTAAAAGCAGGTGCGTGCTGCCCCCGTGTGGACACTCAGAGGTGTTGCAGGCAGCAGAATAGAAACAATAGGGACAGTTCTCTGTATCCGATTAGGAACCAGCAGTGTCCGGCGTCCCTCCCACACCGGCCTGAACCTACAAGTTCACGGAGGTCATCGCCAGGCCCTCCCGTAATAAGCCCGTTTAGAGCCAGGATTTTAATCTATCTATATATATTTAAATATATTTTATTGATTTTTCACAGAGAGGAAGGGAGAAGGACACAGAGTTA